TATATAGCCACACACAAAATTGCTTAAACCAATGTAATCCCTTTGGTTTAAACATCTAGGGGGTATTAACATGGCATACATGGATGATGTTTTGGCTTGAATTTTGGTTGAATTCTAGCTTTCCTCCTTGACAATACTGAGTAGCCTTGGTCTAAAGGTATGCTTTCCACATGTTTCAGAAAACACTTCTGAAGATTCAACTTATCTTTCTGGGGTAATGGCTAAATCCCAGTTTATGTTAGGGAGCTGATCCATCATGAATGCCTACTGTGGAGTTATTGGGTCCACAACAGCTTCCTTTACAAGAACTGCCATGTTGCAGCAGATGGAAACCATCAAGGCACATCGTGACTGCAAAGCATCCAGGTGGCAACCTCTCTGTTTCCTGGCTAAGTTATACTTTTAACATACTAGAATACTTGCCAGTTGTAACCATACAGACTTTATTATGCCAAAAAGCCCAATATTTAGGGATGTAGACTTTAGAAGCCTTCCTGAACAATGATACCCTGCCCCAAATGATATCCAGACTATATAAGAGGCAGACAAAGCCATAAAATTGTAGGATAACGTTTTTGATGTACATGATTCCAAGTGTCCAGACTTGGAATTTCTTATCACTTTTCCTGCCTGCCAGCATATATGGGTACATAAGGAATCTGTGATTTCCAAAGCATGGGGAATGCCCTCCACCAGATAGATCATCACCCTTCTGTGACTTAATAATAATAATAATAATAATAATAATAATAATAATTTTGCAATGAACTTGTGATTTCTTGGATGATGAAACCCTACCAGTGAAGACTGGTGCTTGCTCCACAGTTCAGATTCTTAGAGAGTTGCCTAAAGCACTAAGAAGTTCAGTGACCCAGCCAACCATTGGTTTACATAGAGCATGGACTAAATGTGCTGGCTCACCAGAATTAACATTCCCCATTCCCCTTCCTCTTGCCTGGAACTTAACCCTTTTCCTCCCCCTCATTAACAAAGCTTCCACTGTTGCCACTCATGATTCTAATCTTATTCTCTTGGGGGAGGGCTAATGCTAATGCAAGGAGTGGCTATCCTGGCCTTTTCGCTAGGAAACTAGCATCAAAGAGTCGTAGATTTAGATCTGGAACAGACTTTACCAGTCATGAAAGCTAACCTCTTCCTACTGGAGATGAGGAAATGGAGGTCCAGAGAAGTTGTCGCTTGTCCAAGGTCACATAGGTAGTGACAGATTTGAACCAAATTCTCTGACTCCAAATCCAAGATTCTTTCCATGATGCCACATTAAGTCCTAAGGAGTTGCCTGAGGTATACAGAGGTTAAGTCACTTGCTATGTGTCGAGTAGCTAGTAAGTGTCCAAGGCATAATTCGGACCCACCAAGCCCCATATTCTCTCTCCACCATGCTGCCTCTACCTGCCAGTAATTTCTGCTAAATAATACAAATGCCTTACTGTGCTCAGCTTCAATTGGCACGTGCTTGATTTACTAAGTGGCTGGACTTTTGGCACATTTGTAACTGAAAGCATAGTTCCAGGGTCAAAGTGCATTTTGTTGTTTTTTTCCCTAAAGCTTTGAGTGTGCAGCATTTCCCATCATTTGAAGACAGGCATGATACTGAGAGCCATAATTTCCTCCTCACAGGTCAGAATAGTTAATGAGCTAATACACACAGCCTCCCTGGAGCTGGGCCCAGGAGTTAGGGGAGGAAACTGCCTCAGCATGACTTCACCTAAGCACACACATCATCCTAGGGGGACCTCAGATCAGGACTCAGTAAGGCTGACTCACATCCCCTCCTCCAGCTTCCTGAGATGCAAAGGGAGAGGGCCCTGAACAAGGAACTATAAACTCTAAAGTGAGGAAATAACTGCTAGGATGATAAAGCCATAAGAAACTTTAGAGATCACTTATTCCAAACCCACTCATTTTTTAGAGAGGGAATTTGAGATCCAGAAAGGGGAATTGACTCACCTAGCTTGCTAGGTACAAAGGACCAGGATTTGAACCCTGATCTTCTGACTCAAAATCAAGTGCTCTTGCCACCGCATTCTATCCTCCTCAGCAAGCCCAGCTGAGGGTTAGCATGTTGGACTCTGAATCAGGAAGACAAGTCCAAATTTGGCCTTAGCCACTTTCTTAGCTATGTGACTCCCAGGCAAGTAACCTAATCACTCTTGGTCTCAGTTTTTTTTTTTTAATTAAGTGGGTTTAATAGCCCTTATCTCACATGGTCTTTGTGAGGATCAAATAAGTTAAGGTATTTAAAGTGCTTTGGAAACCTTACAATTCTGTATAAATGCTAGCTATTATTATTACTATTAGCTGACACGTGGCATCCTTCTATCTCCAGCCTAGGACTTGCCTCATAGGAAGCTGCAAGGGATCTGAAAGATAATCTTGTCCAACTGCTTTATTTTGAATATGAGAGAATTAAGGACCAGAGAAGTTCCATGACGTACCCAAGGTCATACAGGGAGGAAATGGCCAAATACATATTTGGATCCATATCTGTCAATTCCATATCCTTTGCCCTTCCAGCATGGACTCCACTGGAGAATAAACTTGTGTTATGTAACCACACAACACACTTGGGACCAAATAAGAGTGCTACATATAAGTAGTCACTGGCCACACAGAACATAGGTGACTGATGAATCCTCACATCTCCCCTTGCCAAGTTTTTCTCATGACATCTCTTTGGAGCTTTATATATTTTATTTTATTTTGGTGTTGCACATGATTTGAGGTTACTATGGCAACATGTCACCAGCTGCTATTGTATAGTAATGTTAGCATTTTCATTGCTGACTCCTGAAGTTTCAAACCCCCCGGCATCAGCGAGGTTCTCCAAGGAACTCATCACTCCCACTTGGCCCAGCTGAGGGGGGCAAGAGTTGGCTTCCCTTTGGAAACACACCCTGTTCCACATCAGTGGCTCGCTGGTCCTCTAGTGGCCGAACAGCGAGGTCATCTTGGGTTTCAAAGTGCACCAGGCACCAGGGGTGTTGGGGCTGCTGGCCAAAGTTTGGTTAGGGGTGCTTACATTTGGGTGGATAAATGAATAGATTTTAAAAATCTGACAGATGTTCTGCACAAACCCTGCTTGTTCTCTCCCCCAGTCCATTGTTAGTTTGAATATTTATTTCTAGGGGCATTTTATGACCTCACTCTCTACAAAACAATCTTATATCCCAGCTAATTAATTTTTAGCACATTACACTTGGCCCTTTTCCCACTGCCCACTGCACAGTTAATGGTTACTGTTTCCTTTGGAGGTTAAGTTCTCACTCAGGTGTACAGATCTCCATGCTAATGCACCAATTTAATTGACAGGATTGATTGTGCAGTATAACTGGAGAGTGTTACAGACACCAAATAAATCCTGCCACTGCTAGGGTCCGAGTATTCCCTCATCATCCAAGTGTCTCCTGTGATTACACTTATTTTTACGTATTTGACCTAGTTTCAATCATGCAACTCCATGCTCCGATTCATTAGATGCATTCCAACAAGCCTAAATGTAGCAGAGGGGGCTGGGCTGGGCTGCGCTCGCTGCTCAGATACTGTCCTCCAGAATTTAATATGCAGGTCCCTGAGTCTTGGTCTTAAAAGGCAATTTCCCATCCGGTCCCCTGGCATGCTGAGAGGAGGTAGATATGTGACTGCTCGTGCCTCAGTAGTAAATATACATTGATCCCTGATTTGTCTCCCTTGGGAGATTTTCACAAATGGAGTACTTTAATCATTAACTTGGACAGTGGAGGTGCCCCTACCCCCACTGACCATCCTGCATATTATCCAGATGTGCTCATCTTAGGCTATTACCTAGGATGTTGACAGAGCTGGGAGTTGGAGGTCTAGTGCCATAAAGTTTGAGCAATGTCAAGGTAGGGAGGAAGTGGTAAGCCACCGTGAGTTTGGGGAGTGTCAGAGGACCTGGGAACAAATGAAATCCTGATATTTCCTTCCTTTCCTATTCCCCAAATGAGAAAGAAAGAAAGAAAGAAAGAGAAAGAAAAGAAAAGGAAAAAAAGGAAAAATGGTACCTGTGTAAATAAGGTCTTCAAACTTATTAAAGCAAAAAAAAAAGGGAGTGATAAATGTCATTTTTGGCAGCTGCTATTAAAAATTACTAAAGGTCACACAAGTACAATGTTAGTACATCATCCCTCTCTAATGCAGCACAGGGGATTTTTCTTTTTTAATAGCAGGGAAAGGGGTATTTTGCCAAAGCAGACCTGCTGCTATAGTGCCTTGTTCTGTCTTTATATTGATCAGTCACACAGATGTGATTTCTGACAGCTCTGATACTAGAAACTGGCTAGCCTGGAAAAAACAGATGATTCTAGTCAGAAGCAGGACACTGTCATTTTTCATTAGTGCCAAAACATCAGAATATTTGCTCAGTTTCTATCCACAGTTGCCCAAACTTCTATCACATGAGGGATAGAATTGTGCAGAATGTCAGCTTAATTTTCCCCCCAAGCCTAATTAATATAGAAGAATTAACAAGCTGATAAAAGTCATTTTGGTTGCTCTGTGAGCAATGCCACGTTGACCAGCAACTTGTAAAAAGATAATCGTTCATTAAATGGTTACTTTTTGTAAATGGATAAAGGACCTTCCCCCCCACCCCAACCTCATAGCACTGAAGTTTCTAAAAGCAAGCTTTGGTACAACCTTGCTTTTCCGGCTATTGCCTGACAATTTGGTCTAAAAATGATTGCTTTAGTGAGGGCTTTTTTTCCCCTTTAAATTCAAATCAAGCCATTCGAAATCTCAGGCAGCCCCCTCATACTGCCTACTAGGACAACCTGCATTTCTAGCAGTGGTGGATTTTTATCAAAAATAGACATATGCACACATACACATCTACACAAACACACAAATCCATACCCCCCAGACTCATTTCAACAAGACCTTTGGAAGAAAACTATTGTCACAGAGATGTTAACATTTCCTCTTAGAAGATCATTAATAACAATAAAACACAGATTTCTTACCTTGAGGTTGGAATTACCTGCAGAAAATATACTTCAGCCCTGCTAGGCAGGCAAGGCTTGGACTAGTGGTAAAATTACTCCAAGAGAAGGTGTATTAAGTCCTTTATATTGTAATTTTCACTGTTTATATGCAAGAAGTGTAGTGGGTCTGCTCACGTAGGAATAAATGAAAAGCCGTACCATGCACAGCAGCTGCCATGTGAAAGAAAAAGACCTCTAGTGGTCACACACTGAACTCTTTGAGAGACAAGGCAGGGAGGGGTGTAGTAGGGTTAGAGGGGAGGGAGGAGGAGGGGAGGGAGAAGGAAAGAAGGGAGATGGAGAGCATCAGGAGAAAGAGAGATTGAAGAAAAGAAATAGGAATATTTACATTCTTGTCTTAAGTAATAGACCAAATCATGTGACATTGCCGACTCCAGCAGAGACTCTTCAGAGAAACATGCCTGTCATAGAAGCACAAAACTGTTAAGAGTTGGAAAGGATTGTCCAACTCCCTCATTTTAGAGATGAGGAAACCGATGCCCAGAGAGGTTAAGTGACTTGTCCTAGGTCTCATGGAGAGCTGATGGCAAAATCAGGACTAGAACCTGGTCTCCTGGCTCTCAGGCTAGTGATATTCTTTCCATATGTTCTTGAGTTGGTAATTGTAGTAGAATTATCCATTTGTCAGGATTTGTGCAGACATCTGCTTCCTCAAATATTTATTGTCACTTAGGGACCAGGTAAGAGGGAGATTTATTATCTGAGGAATCTCCCAAGTCCATCAAAGACAGTTTATCTCTTTCTCTGGGAGACCTGGAGGCCTCCTTTGGGTTTAGAGTGTTGCTATTGGTTTGAGTTGCTGATAACATCATCTCTAGAATCCATTGATGATTTTGAGCTTTCATTGAACATCTGGGATGAACCGACTGGGTGTTGAGAGGATGTAAATTTTGTTCCTTGTTGAAGATGAGAATGTAACGATCACCTTCATAGGAGCTTCTCCAGAGCTGTTTTTGGGAGAGTAAGGCAGAGGCAGCACTCATTACATAATTTTCTATAAAGCAGGGAAATGGAGACCCCAGAGAGTTCTGCAAGTAAAACATATGTCGTACAATCTATAAGGATGCATTTTTGTCCAACTGGTTTCAATATTTTTAATGGAGAATACCCTATAATAGCATATATGCCTTCTTATACTTCAAGCAATTCATTTCACTTCAGCGAACACTTGCTAAGCACTTTGTAGACTGTGCTTTTGAGGGCAGGGACTGTCTCACATTTGTATTTGCATCCCCCTTGCCTAGCACAGTGCCTGATGCACATTTATGCTTACTATACACCAGATATTCTTCTGGGCCCTCAGAATAAAAAAAGACAAACAGAAAAACTAGCTCTGCCCTCATGGAACTTACTTCCACTGAAGGCAGCCAGCATTACGGAGATCTATTCTGGCACTACCGTTGACTTTACAGCCTTTGTTAGGGGTCCCATTTATGCCTCTGAACAAACCTGCTCCTTGCACAGGGCCTACGTTGGGCTGTGATAACCAGGAAGAGTGTTCTCCAGAGCCATGCACTCGTAGAATTTAGAGCTGGAAGGTTCCTTAGAGATCACCTAATCTGGTGATCCCCTCCCTTCTCTTACAAATGAGGGACTTGTACTCCTTTTTCAAATCTTGCCCATTCTTTTTTTTCCATTGTTTCTTTTTTTGTTACATTTCGAGTTCTAAGTTTTCTCTCTCCCTCCCTCTTTCTCAACCCCACATTAGAGGCCAACATTTCATATGTGTATATATACATGTATGTATGTGTGCGTATATGTTTATAGATATACTATTTATCTATCTACCTACTTCTATATGTCAATTCTTTCTTTGGAGGTAGATAATATTTGATGATATAATCTTTAATCAATCCTTTGTAATTGATATGAATGATCATATTACTCAGACTAGCTTAGTCATTCACAGCTGCTCTTCCAACAATATTGCTGTTAGTGTATATAGTGTTCTCTTGGTTCTGTTCATTTTACTCTGTATTATTTCATGCAAGACTTTCCATGTTTTTTTTTTCTAAAACCAACCTGTTCATCATTTCTTACAGCACAAGAGTAGTCCATCACAATCATATACCACAACTTATTCAGGCATTCCGTAATTGATGGGCATCCCTTCAATTTCCAGTCCTGCCCATTTCCAATTTCCAATTCCTGCCAATTTTTGTTGTTGTTGTTGTTTTGTTTTTTTGGTGAGGTGATCGAGGTTAAGTGACTTGCCCAGGGTCACACAGCTAGTAAGTGTTAAGTGTCTAAAGCTGGATTTGAACTCAGGTCCTCCTGACTCCAAGGACAGAACTCTATTCACTGCGCCACCTAGCTGCCCCTCCTGCAAATTTTTAATCCTGCACCAGTTAAGGTATCCATTCTTGATTATTCCAGTCTCACTGATGTTACCTTTCTCTTAGCTCCTATAGCCCTTACAATCTATTTCATACAATTTGGTATTTAATCACATACTGGCTTGTATCAATTTGTTGTTTCATGGGCTTTAGTCTTCCCAACAAGATTGTAAACTCTTTGAGATCAGGAATCATGACTTAGGGGGAAAAAAAAGTCACCCACAGAGGACCAAATATAGGGCCAGATACACAGTAGGTGCTCAATAAATGCTTATTTAGTATTACTTAGAGAATGACAGCCAGCTAGCTGCAATTCATTTCCATTAAGGATAGAATAATAAGAATAATGATCCCTTATATTTGCATTGCAGCTCATATCTACAAGACATCCATGAATAAAGGAATGAATGAACAAATTACTTTTTTAAGCATTTATGAAGTGCATCCTGTGTACCAAGTGCTGGGGATACAATTACAAAAGTGAGATAGTGCCTGACCTCAAGGGACTTAAATCTTAATCCATCATGTTATTTCAGCTTCACACCAATCTTGTAGGAAGAAAAGGAATTATTGTTCCCATTTTGTAAGCAAGGCAACTGAGGCAAAAAGAAATTAAATGATTTGCCCAAGGTTACAGGACTGAACATGGTTGAACTAGAATTAGATCCTAATGTTTTGACCTCCCTATTCAAATAGCCTTTTTCTATAACACAAACAGCTGGGGAGGGGGGGGAAGTAAGCTACAGAGAAGCATTTCCTATTAGAGAAGAGTCGAGATGGCGAAATGTTATTGAAGGAATTGCCATCCCCGGGACACCCTTGACATAGAACTTGGAGTCAATTAGTCTGAATCATTCATTTTATAGATGAGTCAACTGAAGATGACAGATGGGAAGTCTCTATAGCCTCACAAGGAATTAATGACAGACCTATAATTGGGGACCAGGCTCTCCTGATGCTTAATCCAGTGCTTCTTCTACTCTGCCTTATCTGAAATGACCCAGCTGTGATCCTGATCAAATACAAGGGAATTAAATGGGTTCCAAGGATCTCTCCAGGTCTGAAATGCTAGAGTTCGACAATATGGTCCTATTCTCTCATTGTTTCATGGATTTTTCTTTCTTTTTTTTCACTCCTCACAGAGTCATTTTGTGGCATGCATGACAGCCATCTTAAACCAGATGGGAGACCAGCACTATTCTTTCTACATTGAGACTTTCCAGACAAGTTCTGAACTTGTGGTGAGTTTGGTTGAAAGAAAAGGGGAGAATGGGATGGGAATCAGATTATGGGGAAAATCCCCTCCCCCTCATTCATTGTCATTTTACTCTTTGTGTCTCCAGTACCTAGTACAGTACCTGACACATGGCAGGCACTTAGTAAAGATAGCTCACAGTTATGGGCCACTGCTTAATAATTGTAGAGCAGATGTCAGTTAATTGTTTCAAGTTAAAGAGTTAGAATGTAGTCAAAGAAAGAAGTGGCTGTTCATGTAGTGAGAGCAAAGGATAACAAAGTCACACCCCAAGAGCTGCACTGGTACCCATTAAAAAAAAAACCTTCAGCAAAGTCTAAAGCATTTATTACATTTATTTGGTGGGACAGGATGGCCAAGAATCATCCAGGCTGAGAAGGTGTGGTTAGTTTGTGACTTGAACCACTTTAGGGAGGAATGCCCACAGCTGTGAGATGACCTTGACTTTGAAACAAGAGTCATCCAGTTTTGCTGAAGGCATTCCCCCTGGTGGTGTGGGCAGTCATTGCAGTCATCTGCATACAGACTAACATGGAATGTGCCCCCTGGGAAGAACTCTCAATTAATGGATCTCTCAATTAATGATTCTAAATTCAAATACCAGTTCTGCTGCCTATTAGCTCAGTTTCTTAATCTGTTGTAAATCGTTTAATCTCTTCGGGCCTCAGTTTTCTCATCTGAATTTTGAGGATGATAGGGCTCACTGCAAGTGTTATGAAGGAAGGGGAAGGGGGAGAAATAAGATTTATATAGCAGCGCTGTGCATGAGGCATTTCATTAAGCACTTAAAAAATAGCCCATTTGATCCTCATAACAATTCTGCGAGGTGGGTACTATTATTATCTTCACTTTACAGGGGAGGAAACTGAGGCAAATAAAGGTCAAATGACTTGCCCAAGGTCCCACACTTAGTAAACGTCTGAAGATTCTAACTCAGGTCTTCCTGACTCCTAGCCCAGCGCTCTGTCCACTGTACTACTCTCTCATGGCTCCAATAAGAAAGCCTATGAGAAAATCCTACCATACAACCGTAAGTGCCAAGTGTGAACAGTTACAAGTATCATACTTCTCTTATGTTTAGGGCCAGTGAGTTTGAGAGCGAGGGGAGAGGTGGCAACAAGGATTTATTAAGCGAGTACTGTGTATCAAGCGCTGTGTGAAACACTTGACAGATGTTATCTCATTTGATCAGAACTCACGCTTTTCCCACGGGACCCATGTGTGTACGGATGGGGGTGGAAGGCATATATACATTTGCATGTGTATGCACATGTAAGCACTTCTCTTCCCCCAAAAGCTCTGGCAGGTTCTCCTAAGCTGGAAAGGGTTCAAGTACAGTCTCAGAGCCAGACTGCGTCTGCTGTGCTGGAACCAGTCTCACTAAGTATAGATTTGCCCCCAGACGGTCAGCTTTCAGGGGATGAGCTCTTTGGCCATGGAAATCCCCAGGATTTGCAATGTGACATAGGGCCAAACTTTGAAAGGAACACACGCTCTTCTTTCGCCGGTCATCCCTCTCTGAACTTGGTA